ATAGCAGAATTATTCATAGTAGCCAAAAGTGGAAACAACCTACATCCAACAACTAATGGATGGATAAACAAAAATACTATATCTATATAATAGAATATTATTAAGCCAAAAAATAAATGAAGCACTTATCCATTCTGCAATGTGGATGAGCCTTGAAAATATTACGGTAAGGTAAGAAAAGACAGACACAAAATGCCACATATTGTCTGATTCCACTTGTATGAAATATTCAGAATATTCCATAGATACACAAAATAGATTAGTGGTTCCAGAGCCACGAGGAAGGATTGGGGAATGCTAGCTAACAAATACAATGCTTCTTTGTGGAGCAATGAAAGTGGTCTAGAATTAGTAGTGATAGTTGCACAAGCTTGGGAATATAGTAAAAACCACTGATATCACATTATAAAAGAGTGAATTTTATGGTATGTGAATTATATCTCAATTTTAAAAAAAGAAAAAGTGGAATTAATTGAGATTGCAGTGATCTGGAGAGCCTTCGTCTCCTCTAAAGAACAGCCCTATTCAATAGCCTCAGCTAAATTGCACTGGAACGTAGTGGTCCTAATGTTGAAATGTTATCACTTCAGTTTTGGATAAAACCTCTTTTTTTAAAAGTTAGAAAATAATTCAGAAAATTAAAATTCCTTGCAGTCCATACAATCTTGGGTCCACAAAAACCACTGGCCACCATTTCATGACCTCTACTGTGTCTGGACAATTCAGTTACCATCCTCGATCCAACAAAATAAAAGCCCTGTAGTTATGGAAACATCTATCATTCTCTGACAAACTCTTAGGGTAACTGATCAATGAAGAGTGGTTGGATACAGCCTTCCTAGTAACTGCACCAACATGCATATTCAGATAGTCTCCACTATCTCTGGGCTTCTCACTTCATATTTAATAAACATTTTTCCAGCATCAACTAGGTGCTAGGAACTCTTCTAGGGGCTATAGGAAAAACAAATAAGTCAAGGTCCTTGCTCTTAAGCAGTTCAGTCAAGGGAGGGAAACACACTTGTAAACAAATCAAGATAATACAAGGGAGAATTAAACTAGAGCCTGATAGCAGTACAAATCACATACTACAGGAGCGTAGACAAAGCAGCTATTATTTCTCCCTGGAACTATCAGGGAAGGTGTTGTAGAAGAGGTGACAACTGACTGGGCCATGAAAGGTGGAGATAAAAGGAGGAGGGGGAGGGAGGGAGGAAGAAAAGGAAAAATGGAGGGAGGGAGAGAGGGAAGGAAGAATGGGAGAAAGGAAGGGAGGAAGAGAGGAAGGAAAGAAGGAGTTAAATAGAGAAAATTAAATTAAATAGAGAACATGATGAAGAAATGAGGTAGAAGCTAGAAACGTAGATCTCACCATCCTTTGGGTCTACAATGGAACTCACACAACTTTTATCACACTGAGTTAGAAAATTTTGCTTATATATGCCTCCCTCACAACTGAAATACAAGTTCCATGAGGGGAAGGATAATGCCTTAGTCATCTTGATGTCATTAATATTTTTGCACAATGATACATAGAAGGTGTTCAGTAAAAGTTGGTAGAATGAGTGAATTCATAAACCAACAAAGAATCAAAGAACAGAGGTTAGGGCATGTTTGGGGAAGGAAAAAAAGCAATCCATTTTGGCAGGGAATAAAAGACACAAAAGGACTGTAGTGGAAGTGGAGACAAGAAATGTGGGTTAAAGGTCAAACAGGCAATATATAAACCCCCAGGTATTTGATTTGGTTTAGGAGGCCTTTCTAGTGCACCTTAAATTATTTCAATGGGACAGCTTCTTTCTCTTCCCCATGCATTTCTGAATTTCCAAAAACATTCTAATGAAGGATAAATGACTGTTTAAAGGCAGGAAAACACATAGTAGATGCTTAGTTATAGTCTTTAAAAAAACTGAATGAAAGAGTGAATTACTCCATCTCAGAATGGTGTTGGTTTTTACATAACCACAGTATGTTCCTAACTCACATTCTATTTGTGGTCAATTCTGACCCCCACATGTTTTTCACTCATACTCATACCCATCCTGTATTTGTACTCTTGGGTTTAAGTCTTCACAAGAACACTTTCTTATTAAGGTTCAGCCCTTATTATGATAGGCTTATTTTTCCAATGCATAGGGTCATTCAGAGATTTATTACTATTTACCAGAAAATCTAGACCACACCAAATTTGGGGCCCACAAATTTGATACCCACATTCTTCATTTCTCTATCTGGAATGTCAATAAATAGGCCTAATAGACTGCCCTCAGGACCAGTCTCTATTAGGCCATCACTCAATATGTCTACTATTCCCACACTATTTCTATCATCTACATATCTTCAACCTAGCTATTCTGCTTATTATAGTCATGTGGTCAAGATTCTACTGTTCCCAGATTACATAGTAAAACAGTTTACTTCCTTGTCTATGGATCCTATTCTTTTGCTGTTAGAAATTAAAGTTGTCTGTATGATTTGCCCTTCACAAAACCATGCTGAATCCTATTTAGTGCCTCGGGATTTCCTGGGTGACTACAAATTGATTGCTTGATGGTCTTTCTCATTTTCCTCAAAGATCAGTAAGTTGGCAGTCTTTAATTACTAGGGTCATCCTGTGTTTCTCACCTTCCTGTTTCAAACACAGGCATGTTTGCCCTTTTCTAGTCTTTAGGCCCTTTTCAGTTTTCCATCCCTTCTCAAAAGTAATGACCGGTGGATCTGCAACAACATCTCCTTGAACAGCAAGTACCCCTAGGGTACATATCATCAAATTCTGCTGATCTGAATACTTCCATTTTTCTTTCTCTCATTAACCATTTCTCCCTCTTTGATTACCTATTCATTTCTGAAAATCTCACCTTGATTGAACTTCCTCCAGTCAACAACTTACCTGTGATCTGTTCTGAAAAGACAAGATAGAAAACACCAAAAAGTTCAACCTATCAATCTCCTGATATTAATGAGAATTCCTTCCTTCTTGATCATGCAATCACACTTTTTCCAGTCTACTTCTTTTTTGCCAAATACCTTAAAAGTTATTTAGACTTTGCTTTTCTGTACATACTAATTATGTCTTCCTCCCAGCTGTGATCATTCTTATTTTGTCCCTCTTCTGCTATTCTGTGTTTTGTTTTAGGGACCTGGCCTCATTTCCACATGTTGTGTATCTGTTATATCCAGAAATAGTACTGGTTAACAATGACACAGAGCAATAAAATCATAGTCTTACCATTAATTTCATAGCCTAGTTCAAAAAAGAAACATAAAAGAAGAAAAATATAAGTATTCCTTCCTCTCTAGGCCTACATTACCTCTATTATAAAACTGATTATCAGTATGCTATGATCATTTGTTTATTACTCATCTTTCTCAACCTCCTCAAAAGTAGGGGTCATACCCTGTTCACCTGAAACCCCAGGTTTTCCCATAGGACATGGAACACTCTGCTTGATAAAGGATGAGACAGAGGAGACAATATACAATGGTATATGTTAAATGTTTCAGATGGTTAATTCTAGAGGAGAAAATGCTCCTTCAGAGTATAAAAGTCAAGAAAGTCCTCATACCTCTTGCTTCCATAGAGTAATCTGTACAAGTTTAAATTTTTGTTTTTCTATTCCTTTTCCCTGTCCATACATTTAGTGGTATGGTTGATTCCCTCTTTCTTACCTCCTTTAAAACCAGGCTAAACTCAGGCCTCTAGGAATCCTTCCCTTTTAATCAGGTATCTGCCTCATCCTAACTCTGCGTTTCACTCTCATACACTGACCAAATGTTTAAGAAGGTCTTACCTACTGATATATTCCCAATTATTCATCATCTGAGTTTTTACAGTTGTATAGGGGAGCAAAAGTTCCAACCTAAATAGTTCTAGATAGCTGACCACATATAAAACAAAACTCCACTCAAATATCCCTCTGTGCTTAACCAGGCTGGCAGTTCCTACTGCACCAACAACTTCATTCACTCTGCTATCTGTGGAATATTGTCATGTGACAATGAAAAGCAAATTCAATACTATCTCTTGCAAGATAAATTTTAAAATATTTTCAAAGAGAAAATTTTGTGAAGCTGATGAAGATGATGTAGAGACATCATCAACTGACATGCAAAGCTATTGAAAATTGAGAATGTAGCAGTGGTAGGACAATTAACAACTGAGAACATCAAGTGAAGAAGGATTCTATAAGAGAGTGATTTGAATATCAAAATATTTATAAATGCCAGAGGAAGGAAAATGAAGCCTTCAGATACTCCTGCAAAAATTATCCTGTTCATGGTCACCTACGGAAGTCAAATATGAGGAAGAGCATTTCAGCTATTGTACAATTTGGTCTAGAAAATTAAGCCAAAAAAAGAATCAATACTCAATTATCCCTTAATTCTCAGAATTAGTGAATAATTATAACTAGAGCTTAATAATGTAAGATAAATAAATCTATTGCTATTATTCTTTGTTTCATTTTTCAAGGTAAAGAATCAACCACACTTTTTTTCCTACTTACAATAAAATTTTGATCCTATTTTTAAATAGTGACATTTAAAAGAGACTCTTTCTGATACCAATTCTCCTGAAATAATGAGGCTTCCTATACTGCTTTGTCAGCTTTTATGCTTGCAAATTTCTATTTTCCCCCAGCTAACCAATAAGCCCTCCAAGGACAGAAATTATGAATTCTATTTTTCTTTTGTACCTACCTCAACCACTACCAGCCCATTACCAATCACAGCCTATACACCTACGCTGGCACAGGAATCTGAGGAAAATAAGCACGCAGAATATAGTAATGACTGATTGCCTGTCTTGGAAGATAATTCTCCTGAAGGTAAGACTGGCTGCACCACCAGCACACATTCAGCATTCATGGTGGTTGTATCCAAGTTTTCTCACCTAACTAGCTACAGCTCCTTTAAATCATGGCATGGTGTGTCTAAGAAAGGAAAAGATTTTGAGATTGCCTTTCATATTTTTTGCTTAGTTTGTTTTTTTCACCCTACAGGATATTCTCTCCTATCACAAAAGGAGTCATCAGCGTCTCTCTCCTGGATTATATCTGGGTTACCTGAAGCTGTGTAGTTCTGTGGACCAGATCAAAGTACTTGTTACCCAAAAGTTGCCCAATATTCTCTGTCATGTAAAGATCCGTGAAAATAGTAACATTTCCAAGTAAGTTGTGAGGAATTTGGATTTTCCTTGTGATGAAACAGTGGCTCAAGGGTGGGTGGGTTTCAAGTGTCAGAAGGAAACTGAAGCATTACTTCCTGGTGTAGTTTCTATGGTGAGATATCCTCAGAGGCCAGCACACTGGGCAAGAGGCAGAGCTGCGAGCTTATGGCACTGGTTGGCGGAAAGAGTGAACCCAATTAAAGGGCCCTATCCTTTCACTTTTCTCTCTGTATTATTTATGGTGCAACCACTGATGCTCAACTGGGTGATGAATAGATGCCCTTTCCTTTCATCATTGCTGTGTCTCATATCTTTTCTTCAGAACCTAATAAGTCATCTTTTCAAAAATATCATCTGTAGAAATGGGTTCTGGTAGAGCAATTGATTTCCATATATTCTTAAAGGAACCCCCTACCCTCATACCTCCCACCCTTAACTCTCTGGCTTGAGGGCTTTGTATGTTTCCTACATTCTTTACAGTTCTCTAAGGAAGAAAATAAGTAACTAGGCCTGAGATTCTCCAAAGCTCTGTGGTTTTGTATTCTGGTGAATCACCCCGTTAGTTTGGGAAAGTTGCCCAGTCTTGGTAATCTGGTTTAGCTTTACAACTAGACCTCTAGCAGGCCTCTGAAAGCCTATGGTAATGAACTGAATTGTGCTCAACATGAAAAAAAATAAGGAAAGGAAAGAATAGATAAGGAGGAACTCTCCAGAGTTTATCAGGCTTGACTACAAATTAGATCCCCAGATTTCAGTTAATCTATAGATTTGCTTAACCAAGGAGATTCTAATTTGGTCATTTAAATAAATTTGGCCTCCAAAGTGGCAAAAATTTATTAACTATAGTATTTCACAATGTTTATTAAATATTACTTGATGAAAATGAAGTAGATAATGATGATGATGATAAAGTTGGTGGACTGTTCAAAGAACTCACTAGCTGCCGTAGTGTCTTCTTTAATTTATCAACTACACCTAGACTTTAAGTCTGCCATCTGGTGGTCACTTCTACAATCAACATAAATTATCTCCTTAAATGGCTCATTTGTGGGTTGACACAGCAGTGGTTACTTTCAACCATTTTCTAGATTTGTGTCTTAAGGTTTAGACTCTCTCTTAGTGGTTATTCCAACTAATTTCCCCTTGACAAGGATCCAAGTTTCATTTTTACAGAAAACTCTAGTAGCCAGTTCCATCTCCCTCAGCCTTACAGACTAAACTTGTAAGTTAGTAGCAGATGTTTCATGGTATTCCTACTGGTAACTTACTTTCTAATTTGACTACAGATGCTATTTTAACAAAGTGCTCCATTAGGTTCTGTGTATACTCGTGCTTATCAGAACCCCCTCACTTACTTCAGTATCAGTGATGAGAGAAAATAAATAGTTCCCAAGCAGGTTCTCAAAGATCACAATTAATTTGTAAAGCCAGCAGTATGCCCAGATTGAAGTAGGACTGAATTTTGATTTTATTTTATTTTTTTTTTGTTTTACTGGGACAAAGGGTAGATTTTCCAGAGTCTTTTCCAGTGTGAGAATTGAAATGAAACAGATATCTTAAAAACAGAAATTTTTCTAAGAGAGTTCTCTGGTGAAAAGCTCATGTCACAATCAATTTCATTTTCTGACCCAGGGATTTGAGCCCAGGGTGGTATAACCCATGCAGAGAACCCCCCAGGGGGTTTTGACAAGTGTGAGAACATACATTAGCACCTCCTATCTTTCTATCCCTGAAGAGGAGGGCTTTCCTTTCTTCCCTAACCTTCTCCTGAGAGCATACTGCTGCTCCCTGCAGAGTTAGAAGAAAAAACAGGGCCAACGGAGTGTGTTTAGAGACCTGGGCTGAAATACCTATGGAAACAATGTTGCCCAAGAGGCATTTACCTTGATCTTTTCAAGCTCCTTTTGAAGAGCAGCCTCTGGGGGACAAACCAGATGTGCTTTCCTCTCACCGTCATTCTTTTCCCTTCCCTTCTGCATGACATTTGGAAAAGTTCATTAGGAAGGATTATAGAGCATGCAGAATAAAGACACAGATGACTGGTTTGAAAGGAGGATGGAAGCAGCGATGTGTGTCCCCTGGTTCCTTTTATTGGAATTGTCTGGTGTTCCTGTTTGTGATTCTCCTCAAGCTTTTGGAAGGGGAAAGAAACCAAAATAGTCCCCACGACTCCAACAGACCAGGGTTGAAATGTGCCATGTGGTTTGTTGCCTGAGCTGGACAGTCCTGTGGCTACCCAACTGCTGAATTACCCAGCAGATGCCCCTGTGGTAAAATGTAAGGTCTTAGAACTTATAGGGGATCTTCAGGGAAAGAAAAATGAAGACAGTCTGGAAATTATTACAAAATGCTTCAAAGCTCCAATCTCAAAAACTGATTGGTACAAATTAGACCTGCTGTTCTGAGGTACATGTAGTTTAATAGGTGAACTAAGCTTCCGTTAGAAAAAGTTCATTTTAAACTCCATATGGGTGGCGAAAAGTTCAAATCTCATGAATTGCATCAAGTTTTAACCACCAAAATTGGTTATCCAGGTTCTGGACATATACACTAAAAAATTTCTGAGCTGTGTTCTGAACTTTTGTTATATTTCTAATTTTAACTTGACTCAACATACAGAGAAGAGTGGGAATGGGTCCAAAAGCTTTCTGGCTCTGAATCCATGGAAAGTGTGGATCATACTTCTGACTGCCCCATGCAATTGTTCTTCTATGAGCTCCAGATGGCAGTGAAAGCTCTCCTTAAGCAGATCAATATACCTCTACACCAGGTACTAGTCTTTACCATTTTTATCTTCTTTTTATGGCTGACGGAAACTGCATTGTAGCATAAAACTCAAGAGGTTAAACATATTTATATATATATATATATATTTAGTTTATTTTCACTGACTTAAGTACCACTTTGCACATAGATACAAGCTTTTAATTTGATGCCCACAAGTGGACACAAGACTGCACTTCTGCCCCTTTTCTCTAGCTCCTCTGTGTTGACCTCTCCCACAGTTCCTGGATATCACTTTACTGTGGTCTAGTCAAGCAAGGAAAAATCACTGGCTAGCACACCTTGAAAGATTCCAAGTCTTAGCTTTAGGATAGTATGAAGCAAAGAAGATAAATAAATAAGTGTATAGCTAGATGTACTAATGATTTATCTTAAGAACAGACGACTAGTAGTAGTATAATCTAAAGCAATGCCATGGTTATCCCATGCTATCTTTCCAGAGAGATTTGCTGTCAGATTACTGTCCTTCTAAATCAAAATGTGCAAATCTAACCCTCATTAATAAGAAACTTCAAGAGAAACTGTTGGCATAGAAGAGAACAGTAAAAGTTTATTAGGCTCTGTCTAGTAAGTTAACGTGATACAGCATTAGGTTGAATTCTTTCTTGTTTTTTTGGCCTACATTCACCATCTCCCCCACCACACACAAACACACACACACACACACACACACACACACACACACACACAC